TGCGGGTGAGTGGCGCTCCCACTGTCGCCCTTGGGCAGAGGAAGCTGCGAGCAGCAGCAGGAAGCGGCACTTGCGACGGCATCGACGCGGGTCGCAACAGGCCACTGTTAGCGGGGCGTGTGGCTCGAGAGCTTGGCCTGGTCCCCACGAGGAGTGTTGGCACCGCAGTGAGCGAGAGCCCGCGCTGCCCGCCACATCCGCCCGCTTCCCGCAGATGAGCCTTGCCCGACGGCCTTGGCTTGGCCAGGGCTGGCCACACAGCCCGGTTGTGCAAGCAGGGCTGTGAGGAACTCGGGGGCTTTCAGAGATGGCTGTTTCCGCGGAGAGGAAGGAGCCAGTAGAGCAACAAAAACAACAACAAAGTGTTGGTTTTCCCTTTTTTTTTTTTTTTTTGACCGCTCTTAAGTAAACATGGGGTGCCTTTGAATATATAACGGTGAGGGTTGAGGTGACAGTGGCACTTAGAGCTGCTCAAAAAAAGCAGCGCGTGGTTGAATTTCTCCTGTATGTATTTGGGGGGGGCTCATGTGAGACTGTGAGTCTTGCATCTCTTTGCTGGAGCGTTGGTAGACTGAGCGCACTTGCCTGCAGCTTTGCCATCACTGAGATAAGTTCTCCAGATCGGTAAGGCAGAAAACGGCACAGTGGTGCCCTTAAAGGCTTAATACCTGCCTGTTATGGCAGTGCCTGGCACCGCGTTTCTGCGTTTACATACAGCTTTGTGTGTCGCCGACCTGCTCCCTGCCCAGCCCTGGCACCTTCTTGTGGCGTCGCAAGAGGCCAGTGCGTGTGTTCTGAGTCCACTCCCGTTGCGACTCCCTGTATACGTGGTGGGGTGGCCGGCTCCTCAGCTTTGTCCTTATGCACTTTTAGGTGCTGGATGCCCTCGTCTGCAGCCTCCTGCTTTGGGTTGGAGCTCTGGTCGCTATGGGAAGGTGCCATCACTAGTTGCAAAAGGTGTTGGCTTTTGAAAGCCAAAAATAGAGTAAAATAGCTCAATCGTATATTAATATGATTGATAAATATAAATATATATATATATATATATATTTTCTTTTCCCTAGCAGTAAATAGTGCTAAAGTCCTGGGTTGGTAGTGCTCCTTCTTAGGAGAAGTGGAGCCTTGGAAGATGCTTGGAGAGGGATACGGGGCAGCTGCTTGCAGCTCGGTACCTGCGCCGGGCACCCCATGGCGGGAGCTCCCCTCCTGCCCAGCGCCTTCGCCTGAAAGTGAGCACCAAGCCAGGCTGGAGTGAGGGCGAAGGCGGTGAGAGTCCCTGCGCTGCTACTCTTGCTCCCGGAGATGCTCCGTGTCGTGAGGCTGAGTGCACGGGCCCAAGTGCTGGCCCTGTGCACTGAGAGTGTGAGAGATCCCCCGACGGGGAACCGTGATGGTTAGTGGCTTGCATGGGAAAATGGATGCTCTGAAATCGGAGTTCGTGGGATTTCCTAGGTCTTTCCCTGCCCTCCCCCTTGCTTCTTCTTTTCTCCTGGTGTGAAGAAATGCTGCTTTGAGGATGTCTCTTGCTCTGCCAACCTCAAGTGAGCTGGGGCTTTGTGAGCCCTGGAAGGCTTTTCCTCAGGACCGTTATCTGCCTCGGAGCAGGCAGCTGCAACCCAGGGAGAACCAAGGGCTTGTGTGAGCTCAAGTGAACGTTTTTTTCCCCCCGGCGAACACGGTGGCTTTTGTGCACTTGGGCTGTGGGCTGGGCTGAGGTCGCAACTGCCACGCTGACAAATCAAAGCGCCTGGCTTGCGACTCGATGAGCTGCTCAGCGCCTCCAAAGCACCCCGAGGAGGCACTGAAATTGGGGCAGAAATCGCTCCCTTCCCTCCCCTCTGCCCCAAGCCGATGTCCTGGCAGAAGCCACTTGTTTGGCGTGGCTTTCGGTTCGACTGCTCTCCGAGACACCGCTCGCTTTGTGAACCGCAGCTCGCGGGGTTTCTGCAGCTTTGTCCGCTTGGCCATAAGGGCCCAAGCTGATGTCCTGGCAGAAGAGTCTCTCTTTGGCCAACATCCAGCTTTGCCTGTGAGGATGGCACCTTTTACCTCCAGCCGTGCATGAACTTCACTTGTGAGCGTGCTTGGCTGCAGCAGCAGGAGCCAGGATGAAGATCCCCTCCTCCAGCACCAGGCGCTTATTCCAAGCCCAGGAGTGCCCGAGGTCCCCGCACGCCAAGGGCTCGGCGGACATGTGGAAGAATGACTTCATTTGCTGGAGAAATTAAAGACCGCTTTTATTAAAGGCCTTTGCATCTTAAGCAT